GTGGTGTAACTGCCTTTTGTGATAAGCATCAGGGTCATATCACATGGCTTGCATCCCAGAGGTAGTATTTTTTAAGATTATGAAAAGAGGCAGGCAGTTGTTGCTGGTTTTCTGGAAGTTGGAGCAGTGGGCATGTTCCTGTCATGTGAGATCGTCATGTGCTTGCGCTCAACGTGATTTCATGGAGTTAATGGCAAGCATGTGTCTCAAAGCACTGCAAAAAGAGATAAATTCTGCAGTGCTTAAAACACAAGAAATGTCATATTTTGTGCTTATTTCGGTTATTTATTTTTATGTTCTGTTTATTCCAAACACTTCTGTTTTAGAATGATGTAGTTAACGCATTTGTATCAGATCTTATCCTCACTGTTAATCATCCTCCCCTTAAAACACTGTATTTAACCCTGAAAGTACAGGAGAGAGAGAAACTAATGTTCACTGGTATTTTGCCGTTTCATCGGGGTGGAAAGCACTTTGCTGTTGCAGTAAGTAACAGGTTTGAATCTCAAATCAAGCAGCAGATCCAGTGGATGGAGGCTGGATCCTGACAAGGACTTTGGTGGATTTGGTAATTGTTGTTCAGTTAGGTTGTGATTTTTTTTCAACTTTGTTCACATATTGCTTGAAAAAAATCTTAGTCTTTTGTGAACCTCTCTGAGATTCACAAGTTCTGTCTTAACCAGAGCTTGGAATAAAGTTTTAGTGTTTTTCAAAGTTAATTCAAAAAACATGGCTTTGGAAATGAAGAATCCTATAAACTGACATTTTTGCTTTTTACCATGACCCACTTTTCCCTTCTTCCCTCCCTCTGTTTCAAGGGGATTGTGTCTGATTCTTGATACCTTCATTCTTACTTTAGCCACTCTCACTAGTTTAAATGGACATATTTTCTGGGTGAGGTCTTGGAATTCTTGGGGAATTTGGGCTTATTTTAAAAATTAGCTTGTGTATTTTGTTAATGGATATAAAATGCTTACTGCGTCTGTTTGGTGGAATACATTAAGAAATGGCAGCTACCACTTTGTGCTGTATTCACAGCTTTCAGTAATTACTGCTAACATCTGCACGCTTTACTTGGGCCTTAGCTGCGCTGCTCTGAGTGTGTTTCTGTAATCTTCCTCCTTCTGCGGGGTATGAGAGAGAAAACAATCACCCAAGTGGTTGCTATAGCATTTCATTAAGGAGCCTTTTCCACTGAGCTGGGAAAGGCTCCTTTCCCACTTGGCAGCCTAGCACGAATAAAGAGCTCCTCTCAGCTCTTTTCCCTGTGTTATCATATGCCCTTCAGCTTTTGACTGCAGCCTCGCCGCTTTGCCTGGATTGCCATCATTCTGGGGGTGTTCTTTTGCTTAATGGCTCTGCTTGTTCTCGACTACACCGGGAGTGAAAGGCTTCCTTATAAATGCCTTGCTTGCTCAAAGCAGTCTGGCTGCGAATGTCCAAAGGTCTATAAATATTGTGACTTAGAAGTGCTCCTCAGTTGACTGGCCAAAATGTGTGAGCAGTTGAGTAGCATCCCTTGAAGGCTTCAAATAAGGCTGTCGCAGCGTTAGTAAGGAATTAAGAAATACATTGATATTGTAATCAATACTGTGAGCATAAATGAATTCTGAAGTATTTTCCTTTTGCATTCCTTTCCTCATGGGATCTCAAAAGCATTTTAGGAAAAAATGAGCCAGTTATATCCTGGGAAATACTTATTTTTAATTACCACACTAGGAGATTGCTGTAGTAGAAGGATTTATGCAAAAACTATCAGTGAATCAAATCTGGGAAAAGTATCCAGATTTTGTCCTGTAGGTAATTGTTTGGGGTTTTTTTCCTGCAAGCGTTCAGGCCTTGCTAAGTGCCGTTTCCATTCCATTGCATCACGTGGTTATTCTCCCTTTCACTGTCTACTTCGGCCGTGTGAACTGGACAGCTTGCAGGCTGCAGTGTGGGGCCTGAGGGTATCGGTCAGTGTGAAAGTGCTTTGGTGCAGCCTCCTGTCCCGGGCTCTGCAGAGGTCAGCGATTCCACTAGCCAGGGACGGGGGAAGAGCTTCGCTGAAGATCCACGCATGCCTACTCGTTTCCTTCCTACTTATGTAGATGTTAAATGTGGTAGTGAATCTGGCTAGGGTGTGGTGGTTGGGTTTCAGATTTAAGTGAGAGACTAAATAGATGAGTTTTCTTCATATTGCTCCTTCCTGACGGTGCTACTCCACAGAGATTAACAAAAAGTTAATACCTGCTGATCCTTTAAAAGCTTTCTATATATAGGGTCTTTCATTCTTGTAGTCTTTTAGGATTTGAAGTACAGACATTTTGGAAGGACTTCTTTCTGCGCTTCAAAATTTTAGTTTCAGATTTGATTCAGAGCTCTGTAATATACTTTTCCACCCTCTTCAAAGGAAGTTGCTCGTTATGTTAGGTTAACTGGTAGACAGGGCTTTGCCTGCAGGCTGCCATGGCCATCAAGTGTGGCTAGTGACTTGGGAATCTGTATTCAGCTGTGCCAGGCTGTACATTATTGCACTGTTCTGTATTCTTTTCTTTTTTTTTTTTTCCCCTCCTGGTCACACAGTGGTTTGCATTCAACTCCCAAGAGGCTTCCAGGAAACTTAAACTAATGTTTAAATAGTTTGGGGATAGATGCTTGTGGGAAAATAACAGTAATGCTTTCTGGTTATGGACCTAAAGACTGAGAACCTGGGTCTTAGTATTATTCTGCACTGGGAACTAGTGCTGACCTTGCTCACCAAGATGTGGCAACGAGATACATATGTGACAGATTCTGTGATGCTGTCCCAGTGTGCTTTTATGTGTGCATAAAATATTCAAGGCTAGGCACAATGTATTTGTAGATCAGTTACATGTTGTATAAGTCATTCTTACAAGTGTGTATTTTCTACTATCAGAGGGTTTTTTTAGTTTATACTCAAGAGCTTAAACTTCCTGTGCGAGTTGGACCAGAATCAATCTCAGGCGAAGGGTTTAGACTCCCAAATCTTCTGCTGCCCGGGAGAAGTCACCCAGACTCTATGTTGTTAAGTGTTTGGGTGCAATGCCATCTCTAGTTTTGGCAGATGTGATCCACACGCCTGTATCCAGGAGGACAGATGACTATCTGTGTAGAGGAAAGGCTTGTTTGGTGTGTAGCATGCCTTCCTTTAACATGAAAATTCCTATTGCAAAGATAGTATTTCTACCCCAAATACAGGCATTTAGGAATATCTTAAATTTCATCAAGTAAATTGATTTGCCAGCGTTCTTCCTTCAGAGTTATGCTACACTGGAAAGCAGGGCTGCTGTGTGAGGGACCTCAACAGGCTGCAGGAATGGGTCAGACAGGAGCTCTGTGAAGGTCAACAAAGACTTTTGCTAGAAGTCTCAAAACAAAGAATGTGGTTCCACCTGAGTTTACCAGTATCATGGAGGAGCTGGCTTTTATCCCTCTGTGAGTGTGAGATTTGAGAGAAAAGACAAATAAATTATTCTGCTTGTATAGAAGCTGTTCAACCAGTGAAGCTGCTCCTCCTCTGAATTATGCTTATTCACCTTGCATCCTGATGGTGTATTCTAATTCTAGTATCGCTAGACTCTAAATGATAGCGGTGTAAATTGTCATTACATGACTGCTACTTGGAGTATGAAGTCCCTGCATTAAAATTCAGTTGCTACCTTTCCTCACGTGGATCATTGCACTGTCTCTTGGCACTACAGACCTTGTACAATTTCTTTTTATTGTCACCTGCTATTTTTTAAAAATAAGATTGTCTGCTTCTAGCAGCAAACTTTTATGACTTGAAGCATGAGTATCGCTCTAGGATGTTGTAAAAGACCAACGAATGGTTGGGATAATACACAAAATTTAGTGTAAAGGGGAGAACTGTTAATTAAAGGCAAGCCAGTAGAATTCTATATTGAAAAAATCTTTTTGGTGGAAGGTAATGGTATTCAGGCAGCAATTTTACTTTGGAACTAGGTAATCTGTTTCTCACCCGGTTCCTCTGGCAGTTGATTTATTTAATATTTAATGTGATATGCCCTGGTGCCTGTGTGGCTTTCTAAGGAGAGATTATTTCTCCTTTTAAATTTTCATTATTTCTGTAGCAGATACCTTAAGTACTTAAGTCATAATTCACTGTGAACTGAAAGAATCTCAGACTGAGTTAAGCCTACTTCTAAGGTAAAATCTGTATAGATATTTTTAAATCATGTATTTGCTGCATCCCTCCCACAAGCACAGACATGATTGCTTGGAAAGAAATGAAGGACCAATATTTAAATGTAAACATTATGACATTTGGTGCTCTGAATTACTGAGAAATTCATACAAATAACTTGCTTATCAAAAAGTGTAAATGGCAAAATGGCTCATCTAAGTAATGAACCAGGGAGAGGGTGTCCTTGCCGTGGTTGCGGTGGATAGCAAGGCTTACAGCCAGAAGTACCTGTACCCTGTATGAGACTTGTGCCGTGTCCCTTCGGGCGTGAGGACTGTTGTGGGTGTGCATCTACAGTGCCAGCATATACAGTGTGCCCAAAAGTAGAGTAACTCGTAGTATTTTCATCAGTCACCTTAAATTTGTGGGCTCTTAATAGCGTTTGACATAGGTTTTTTTTCTAGACACGTAATGAATGGGTGATCTCTGACTTCCCATCGAGGTGAGTGACTAGTGGAATGGTGGAACTCGGGTTTTGTTCAGACCCCTAGGTACACAGTCTCCATTGAACTTTTTTCACAAATCTTTGAAACTAGAGCTCTGAACTGAACAATGTAATTGCGAGGGAGAAGGGAAACCACTGAAGAAACATCTCGGCGTACTTTTGGTTTTGTAATACAGTTGTAATGTTTCTTGTTAATGAGTAGTTTCATCAGAATTAAGTGCTTACCTAAATAGTGTGTGTGTGAGACTTGGTGCTTGCAAATGATGAGTTCTGCTGCTTCTTTCCCCTAACGTGCTGAAAATCTGCAAAACTGGTAAATGAGCACAAATTTTTGTCTGTTTTCCTCAGGCAAAATACATCTCCCAGTGCATCGATGAGATCAAGCAGGAGCTAAAGCAGGATAACATTGCAGTGAAAGCAAATGCCGTCTGCAAACTTACATATGTAAGTGCCTTGCTGGGATATGATGTAACCATGTCTTTATTTTTTTCTTTCTTGCTGACTAGGAGCTAGTCTTCAGTCTGAATGCCTGCTTTACTTAGACTGCAGTTTCTTAGACGGCTATAAGCGTGGGCCGCAGGTGAAAATGCTCCCAATTGTGTCTGACATCAGAGTCTGCATATTCCCATTCTGTTCATTGTGCTGGCACTAGTACTGGTGCAACTTTATTTTACTGAGAAAGGTCAGGAAGCTAATCTGATTTAAAGCTAATCCAATTTTAAAAAGTTGTTTTCAACCGGATTGTTTCTTATCACATAGTTGTATGAGCACTTGAAACTGGTGTTTGTTTCTCTTTGCGTAGTCCTTTGTCGAGAAGGAGAGGAGGGAAATACTGTTAAAGAATTATTTTTGCAATTCTGTTCTGGTTTTTTATTTTTAAAGAAATTCCAGGAGAAAACCCTTCACAATGATGCTTATGTAACTGCATACGTGTTACCTGGAATTAATGCAAACTATTTAAAACTTGCTTCTGGTGGAACTTTGAGACTTCCTTCACTTACTGCGAGTGGTGTAGAATGTAATATTACTTATGAATTTGAGGTGTCTTGTAGTATTATTTTTGGACTCTTGTTACATATTCAATTTTGTGAGATGTCTTGACCTATCTTGTTGAGTCTCTTATTTCAGAAGTTTATCTCGGCTTCTCTGCTCACAGTTACAGATGCTGGGCTATGACATCAGTTGGGCTGCTTTCAATATTATTGAAGTAATGAGTGCATCGAAGTTTACATTCAAAGTGAGTTCTCTGTGTATGTACAACTGTACTAGCCAAGCAGTTTCGTTACTGTATTTAATGAATGCATTGGTACATCATCTTTTGGTTTACTTTCTTCAATACAGAAAGGAAGGAGATAATACTTGGCCTGATAGTATGGGCTTTTTCTACCAGATGTTTGACAACAGCTGTCAGATATATTTTGTGAAAAAACAGAGTATTTTTATGTGAAGACCAGCTAAGATCCCTAGTAGCCGGCATATTTTATGTTGTAATAGCTTTATAATTTTTCTTGAAAGGTTTTGGTCATGCTGTGTGTTGTAGACCTTTTTTCACCGAACGGGGTGGAATGTTACTTCATAAGGAATAGTTTCCAAATTGGGCTTCGTTACCTGAAAGTCAGGAGTCAGCACAGACAAAATAGATGTAATATTCTCCATTTCTTCTACTGACAATCCTACCTTATTTCTACATCTTCACTACTGAACCTCTATGTTCTAAGAAATTTGAGAAGGTGAAGCTAGTTTTATTATACTTAAGACAGATGTATTAGCACTCGAAATGTCACTTGTCTGAGATTATTCTTTCTTGATATAAAGCCCCTTTTCTAGAGAACTCTATCGTGCCTCTCGCCAAATCTCCTACCTAATTGTTCATCTTTGTAATACTGCTTGTGAAGCTACTCGTTGTTGTTCATCTAAACTTACTTTAAAAATATTTTTTTTTCTCCTCGCCTCTTACAGAGAATCGGTTACCTAGCTGCCTCTCAGTGCTTTCATGAAGGGACTGATGTAATTATGTTGACTACTAATCAGATCCGAAAGGTAAACTTTTTACTTCAGTTCTTTATTTTTTCTTGCACTGTGTCCCTACTTGTGTTTTAAAATTTGTATGAAGTATATCTCTTCTAGGAATATAAGGGTGTTTAAGTAGAATTCTGTTTACTTGATTTACAGGCTACTCTCATTCCTGAGAGTAGGATTAATGAAGGATTAATGAAATACTTAGAAGCTGTCGATAGGTTTCCCTCACACTGTCTCATACCTCTGTGTTTATTCATCACAGTGAATGGTGACAACAATAACCTTTGAATATTGAATAACCTAATATTGACTACTCTCTTAAGCAGCCCTTATAAGAATGTAATGGGTAAGAAAAATGTCCCCGTTCCTGAAGTAAAATGAGCAGTCACCTGGCTCCACAAAATTTCTGTTTGTGAGGGCTTGTTTTCTTCTGGTAATAACAAATCAGGCTTTTGACTTGTTTGGTATAATTGTGTGTATAAATGGTGATGACTGTATGTAAAGTTGTGTTCTGTATTAATGTACTGAAGTGTGTTGTATTAATTTGCACAGAGCTTTATCACTTGAATTTTTTCAGAGTTAGTGTGTTGCAGCATTATTTTCCTATACTTCAGATTAAAGATATATTTTTAAAGCTCTTAATTTTAAATTTTTTATAGTATCACTGCTTTAAAACTTGACTGATCCAGTACAAGACGCGCCTGCATTTTTACCATCTAAGTAGCTAAAATGTCTTTTACTTGGTATAAAAAGGATCAGTGGGATGTTATCCCATATCTTTCGTAAAGACCTAGTGCTTTTCCCTTTATCTTTTAAACTGTTCTGCTCTGACCAGTGCGTATTTTTAATAATGTCCATCCATTTTATTTATTATGGAGACTTTTATTATGCTGAATTTTAGCCACTTACTAGACTACTCCTTCCTTTTGTGCCTGAGTTTTTACTTAACAGCATCTTTATATGTACCTTTTCAGGTTTCATTGATCTATCAACTTTGTATTTTAAGGGATTATCACTTCTCAAAATACATTAAAGCGAGAATGAATTGCAGTTTTGTTGCTTCTTAAGAAGCAGATTTTATTATTCTTAAAGTAGAATTTAATTTCCTACCACCTGCAAAAGGTTTTAAATGAGATGCAAATGGCACAGAACCGTGAAGGCCTGACTATGTTTAGCTCTCCTAAAGCAGCCTCTGTGTACACACAGATCTGGACAGTTGATTCTGGTAGTTCATGTGGGAATGCTCTGTGCAGTTCCCTTCATATTTTTGTTTCCTAATAACTGCAGTTAAGGAGTGATCCAGTGATGTTCTGTGTTCAGTGAGGTCTCATTTTATAATCTATACTTGAACATAATCAGATCTGAATATTAATATTGTTAAGAGTCCGAAGCTTAGAAATGCCTGAAAGACTGCGTAGGATACTGACTACATATAAGTCCAAGGAAACTTGACCGATAAGATGTATTCTGCACTCTAGCTTGTGTTATGTCTTTATGGACTGAAAGTTATGGTGCTGCCAGTGGCTTGGAAGGAAAGTGATCTCATTTCTCTAATAGAGAGATTAAGCTAGGACACTTCCACGCTCGATGAGAGTGCCTGTTGCCAGTGAAGTTGATGACAGTCAGGCTTTGACTTAGCAGGGTTAGTATTTAATACCTGTTTTTTAGGACTATAAGCATATTTTGATCATGTCATGAGTTTTTAAAAATTATTTGCCATTCCTAAAATACCACCAAGGGACAGTATCTCTTAATTGCTTTTATGTTGCAGTCATCCATCTATTGTTTAATTATGATTCCTCATGCCCACTATTAAACCTCAGGCTAGCTGTATTTTAGCAGGTGTTGGAGGATGTTCCTGTTAATCGCTGATATAAATATTCCCATGAAGCAGAAGCTTTGCTTCATATGTGTTGAGTGGATAAAATTGGTCTGAGAAAATTGTTTCTCAACATCCTGTGTGATCTTAAATTGTTGAGCCTGTTTCTCCTTTTTTAGGATCTGAGTAGCCCTAACCAATATGATACTGGAGTTGCACTGACTGGCTTGTCCTGTTTTGTTACTCCAGATCTAGCCAGGGACTTGGCAAATGACATCATGACACTGGTAAGTTGATAAGATTGAAATAACTTTTTTCTGTAACTAAAGAATGTTAAATTGTTCAAATCTGGTAAATATCTGTTAAATTTAGAACTGTTATGTGTGAAAACTAATGCTCTGTTCTTGTGGGGTTTTTGGGGATCCTTTACAGACTTAAGCTCAAGTGGATTTCCTTGAAAATTTCTATTCATTTGGGTGATAAATGACAGTGTTTTGCTCTGCCCTCAAAGCTGACTTTTCAAAAAGTAGTTGAGTTTCCCAGAAAGAAATTTTGAGACAGTGGTGTGGACATAAGGACCTTGAGAAGAACTCTGGAAACACAAATTTGCTAAGAACCTGATTGCAATTGTTTCATTAACAGATGTCTCATACAAAGCCTTATATCAGGAAGAAGGCAGTGTTAATCATGTACAAAGTTTTTTTGAAATACCCAGAGTCCCTCCGTCCTGCATTTCCTCGCCTTAAAGAGAAACTTGAAGATCCAGATCCCGGTGAGTGGATTTTAGAAAACTACTTCTGCTCCAAAACATCTGGGTAGACACACTTTTAGAGCTTGTGGAGAGAAGAATACATGAAAAATGCTGTAATCATCTTTTGGGTACTGATTTGCCTGTTTAATAGGTAGATGAACATATGAGAGTTTTGACAGATATTGCCATATTAAAAATACATCCTTTAAAATGTCCAATTCTTACTTCAAACCCAAAGCTATTGAAACTATGTCAGTGGATTAAACCTTAACGGGACAAAGCTACTTAATGGTTCCTTGTTTGATGCTTACTTAACTTGGCTGTTGAAAATACTTGAGTTGATTTCAGGATTTGGGTTTTTGTTGTTGTTTCCTGTACTCTTTTACAAAGCTGCAGCTATTGGCTTACAATGGATGTACTTAAAATAATTTCACATCACTTAGTGTATTTTTTTCCATTTTTTAAATTTAAACTTTGAGTCCAGACTGCTGTTTATGCCCTTCAGTACTTCAGTACCCTTCAGTGCAATTCAGCACCAGTACAGGAAATTTGCAATTACTCTGTATCTCATTCATACTCAGTCTTCCTGGAAGGCACTGGTCTTCCCTTACTGCACCAAAATGCCGTACACTTTTTTCAGAATTCTGTGCGCGATGCAGTTCTGTGATCTCCAGTTGATTTGCCTGTGTGTTTAGAGGGGGAAATTTAATTGCATGTACCATGCTAATTTGGTGCAGGCATGTAAGGTGCATCTTCCAGACACAGTGTTTTTAAAGAGAGCAACACACGCACACACCCCTCACCTGCAGAAGAAGAAAATACCTATTATACTTTATAGAGAAAAGGACTATTTTCTACTGCTTTTCTGTCTAGATTAAAAGATGCCAAATTGAGAACAATCAGTTTAGAGGATGAGCAATTAGAAGGGAATAAATTTGTCCAGTCAGATTGTTTAAGGATTCGTTGCTTTTGTGTTATATTTAAATATGTCTCATTAACACATTTTAAAGAGGTAAGAGTGTTTGGAGACTTTATGGTGGGTAGGATTATTGATTATTACATTGTCTGCATCCCACAAACAAGCTATCCAACAGTGAAGGAGGCTAGCACTTTCCTGTTCTTTCTAATACTGGACCCAAAGCAGATACCCAGCTCGCTCATATATTAGAAACCAGCCAAAATTAAATAAAATCCTTTCTCAGCTTGTTTTTGCATTCTTGTGTTTAGTCCACTACCTCATGGTTGGTAATGAGGCTGAACCATTCCTCTTGGACACACAACATTGAATCTTTAGTTGCTTTTGTTCTGGGGGTTTTGTACCACAAACTTCAATTACAATTAAGGCATTTATGAGATTTCTGTTTTTCCCACTTCTTTTTCCCAGGTGTGCAGTCTGCTGCAGTAAATGTTATTTGTGAGCTGGCTCGACGCAATCCCAAAAACTACCTTTCCCTTGCTCCACTCTTTTTCAAGTTGATGACGTCGTCAACTAATAATTGGGTTCTCATTAAAATTATAAAACTGGCAAGTATTCTGGATCTATGTTTACAGGATTGGGGTTCTCATAACATTACCTTGGGTGCAAAAATAGATTTCATGCTTGGAGGTATAGTTACCATTAAATCTGAATGAAAAGAAACTAGGAATATTTTCTAATGTTTATGAACATAACCAAAGAGAGAACAATATTTTAATATGGCCTGGTTTAAATATAATGAGCTGCAATTTAAATCATGTTGTTATACTGTTTAAAAGCAGCTATTAAATCACTTTTTTGTCTGCACTTCTTTTTTTAATAGTTTGGTGCTCTTACTCCATTAGAACCGAGGCTGGGAAAGAAATTGATTGAGCCTCTGACCAACCTCATCCATAGGTATGTATGCAAAACATTACTTCATTAGGGATTGGTGAAGTGCCTGTTAGGTAGGTCAGAAGCTAGGTCTGTGGATGCATTTCTGAACTTTTCTTGAGTTCTGAGATGCTGGCTTCAAGTATCAAAAAATAATCGCACCAGGACTATTTCTGAAAAACCTGAGCGAGGTAAAATACCTTAAAAGGAAGTCTTCGGGTGTCTGACTGTCAAACTGAATTTCTCCAAAGCACGCATGGAAATGGGAGCAATTTGCTTTCCTTTCACTTCATTTTAAGCCAGAGATGGAGAATATATAAAAAAGGCTCACCTGTGTATTTGCCTCTTCTGTTCGCCTACACACATTTGGTTCTTGACTTTTTTGGAAAGGTCTTACCCAACAAAGCAGCATGATAAGGAGTGTGTTAAAGTTCTTTTTCATGCCTTTGTCTGCCCAGATACGTTTTGGAAGAGGTTCCTTTAACATATGTCCTAAGTATCTTCAAATTTATCTTATCTATATTTCCTTGTCCCTTCTTAAAGGTGTTTTGTAGTGTTGGTTTGGGTCTAATTCTGAACTGAAATCAGAAAGTAGGTGTCTTGAAGGAAATACATGTATTTTCCTAGTTACGAGAAGGAAGTGTGATCTTATGCATGAGTTGTTAAATTAAAAGGTTTGTTTCTCTTCATGTGCCAGAGCAAGAAGATAGATGGGAATGAGCAAATTTTAACCGGATATTCGTGTGTCTGTGAGAGCAGCTCTAGCCAAACCATTTCTGTCCATCCTCCTAGTATACCTTTAAGGCTGGTTCAGAGCAGACCAGCAGCCTTGCATCCAAATACCTGAAGAGGGTTTTTGCAGCAGTGACAAATACATATAAATTCACCAGAAAGAGTACTTCGCCAGAAAAAGCGGGAAGGATGGACAGTATGTCTTCAAGCCAGCCTCTGCCTCCTCTCCCCAACTCCCACACTAGTCATTAATTTTATTTTTTGTGAGGACATAATCCTGTTCAGTTTGGTATCCGTTCAGTCATTTTGGACATCGTATCACTTACGCATAAGGCAAACCACCCTGCCATCCACCACAAAATGGATCGGGAGTGAAAATTACTGCCTTGGTTCTGAGCATACTAGAGTCACGTATATGGTGTGCTGAGTGACCTTCATGGTATCGCTTCTGGCTGCTGCCTCCAGAGCTGTTTGCTCATTACCTTTGCAGACCTTGCTTCTGGAGTCTGCTCCTTTGTTACTTGTGAGGTTCGCTGTGTTTCCCTCTTGTGTAGATCAGGATTTTTAAGGATCTTAAAACTGCACTGTATGTCTGTTCGACTGGCAAAAGTTTTCTTGAATTTAAGTTTTGGGATAAATCAGACATTGAAAACATGTTGCTCACTTAATAGGGAGTACCTGCAGAGGAGTCGTTCGTTTTGGAGAGAGAAACTTGATGTTCTCCATCTGCCTGCCTTATCATGAATTTTTGACCTTGGGCAAGATTGCTTCAGTGCTCTGTAGCTGGTACTGAGGTTTTGAGTAACCACTTCTTTCCTTATCTCTTGTGTCACAGTGCTGCTACTTGCTGCTCCTTAGAGAAAACTTTTTTTTTAACATTAAGTAGCCCTCCTTCTCCTACCAACAGTTTTTTGAGTAAGAATCATTTCATCTAGTTTGAAGGTATACGGAACAGAATACTGGCAATTTCTTGTGTAATTAAAGGTGTTAACTAGCTCCAACATATTGCTGACAACTCTTCAAAATGTGCTGGGTTTTTTTCCTTATTTAAAATGCTTGATTTCTGTTTCAGCACCTCAGCCATGTCTCTCTTATATGAATGTGTGAACACAGTAATAGCAGGTGAGAACTGAAATTTGTAATCTAGAAAAGAACGTGATGAACTTTGTCATCAATTAACACCATCTGTAAACCTTTCTTTATCTAAATGTATTTTATAACTGAAATAAGTCACCTGGCAAACTTTGATTTATTGCTGTGTAACTGTAACTGAAATCCTTTGTTGTCAACCAGCGAGGCTAAGTTACTACAGCTATGTTGTATTTGCTAAAGGCTGAAACAAAGTACAAACAACGAGTAATTATTTATACATTGCTAGAACTACTAAGTATACCAGCAGCAATAAAATTAAAATATGACTGATGTCTCATGGAAACTCTGCCAAAGTTTTCTTACGTGATGAAGGAGCAGACTTATTTTTTAATTTTACAATTTCACAGCTTAAAACCTTGGTTTAATTCCTTAAAGAGGGTAATTGGAATCATTGATTTACAGTTTCAGTTTCTGGGGAAGGGATGTGAACTCAATAATGGGGATGGGGAGAGAAACAAAGGCAAAAAGGGATAACACGATATTCCAGCCTTTTTCTATCATGGTGTGGAAGTAGAGAGTTATTGATATCCACTGTTTGGCCATAAGTCTGTCTCTGTTGGGTAGTTTGGATAATGATGCAGAAACTTGCTGTATTGGGTCAGTTCAGAGAGGAAAGGGATGATCTGTTGCTCACTTTGTATTCGTTTATTCCTTCAGGAAAATGTGAGATGACATTATGATGGGGGAAAGAATAACCCTGAGGTTAATTCCATTGTGGATGAGAGTGTGCTTCCCTGAGATACGATAGGAAAAATCTGTGGTTCAAAGGGAAATTCACACACCCAGGACACCTTAGGGCCTGTAATGTAAAATTCAGAAAATGAGATGTGAAGCTGTGTGCCTGGGTTAGAGCAGCACCTTGCACCTGCCAGCTCTTTGCATGACCCAAAATGATAGCATCTAACATGCCTTCTTGGAAACGTACCTCTGCAGGATCACGGCGAGTAAAATGCCACTAGACTTTTTAGTCATGTGGGACTTGCTCGATAAGAGTTGATGTTGGCTTGGACATGCTGTATGGCAGCGGCAGTTAACAAGATAGCACCACCTTTTCTGCTGTGGGGTTGTGTGCTGCCAGAGCTTTACAAATGCCCAACATAGTCAACAAGGGACCTGATTTTTGCCTCGAGTCTCTTGCTGGCTTGATTAAAACTCTTGATCTAATTACATGAAGCTCTAGGATCCATTGCTGCATCTCTTTACATTAGGGAAGTGCACACTTACATATTCAGCTATATGGTAGTTGATGACATATTTACAGTCTTGACTGCTACGCGATATCAGTAAAGTAAACCATAATGGGTGCAAAGAGTAATGAAAAGCAGCTTTGACCTGGCTGTTCTAACAGTTCCTACCTTTAGACTTTTTTTTTTTCCTGCCCTGCTATTATTACTTAGGGTATTTTTGTAAAACTACAGTTTGTGTAACAACCCCTTCCCCCCACCACTCCCCCACTCTGGTACCCTAAAAGTCCAAGCAAACAGAAGAATGCCAAAATAAACTGGCATTTTTGTGTGAGCTGAGCTAACTGTTGACCTTTGGGTGTTGTATTGCTGCATTCATTCAGAACACAGAAATAGTAACTGAAAATTGTGCTTGTGTATTTCAGTTTTGATCTCTCTGTCCTCTGGGATGCCTAATCACAGTGCTAGCATCCAGGTACAGCCCTGCATTTTTTGGGGGGTTATTTGTTCTGCTCTACTGTGTAATACCAAGTGCCACAGAGAAACTGGATTGTGTTCCACTGCCAAAAGTTAAAGCAGTAGCTCCCTGAAGTGCTCTCACTTAGGTGGAATCCTACAGACTGAAGCATTTCCTATATAAATTCTTATTTCCTTTGCTATAAAATGCAGATCCTTCTCATTTAGAGTTTTCCTAAATCTCTTCTTCAGCTGCTACTATTAATACAATTATACAGAGGTTCCTTTTTTTTTTTTTAAATCTGTTAATGCAACAAGACCCTCTTACTAAAAGCCCCGGGTCTTGGGTTAACGGTTGGACTTGATGATCTCCAAGGTCCTTTCCAACCTTAATAATTCTGTGATTCTGGGTCTTGGTCAGAATGCTTTATGGTGTATTCAATAAATTTTATGAAGAGTTACTTTAATTAAGACTTGTAAAGCTTGTAATAAGCATGATGTGGTCTTTTTTTCCAGCTTTGTGTTCAGAAGTTAAGGATATTGATCGAAGATTCTGACCAGAACTGTAAGTATGTTGCTTGTCTTTATGGAAGCTTTCAGCAACCAACCACTGGGGAGAAATTGCAGCAGTCTTAGAGCGGTGAGCTGTTTCTCCAAACAGCTTATTCAGTATTGTAGTGCCTGGTACATTGTAAACAATTGCTGGGTTTTTTAATGTGGAAATAATTTTTGACAGTGAGCCCTTCTTTATAACAAGCTTCTTAAAAAGAAGTGAGATTAATTATTACTGCTGTCTGTGGTCTTGTAAATTTAAAACAGTTCTCTTTCTGTACTCTGGGTTTTCCCTTTTTATAAGCTTGCTGCTCGGAAAGTACCAAGGTGTGTTCTGTAGTGTAAGCACAACAGTAAAATGCAAGAATGCTTACTTGTTTTAGTGACTACAAAGAACACCGGGAAGTCCTTTTTTGCACAAACCTTTTTCTTCTAAATTTTTCCCATTGAGAACAGGGCTCCTACTTAATGCACCAGTCTTCAGTGCTTTTAAAGCTGTGTTCATCCTAGAATGCCTGTTCTCAAAACCCATAGTTTCTATATGTTAAATGCATATTTTTATATCAGTGATAAAACTTGAGGTACAAGAAGACTTTGAAGACTATATATGGAATTACATGCCTGTATATGGGATTATGAAATTAAAGACCACAATCTGTAATGCACTGTTTCTCAAAAATCCTCATCATAGATTTTTATTCAGGTTCGTTAAAGTTGGTTTCAGTAGAAGGACTTGGTATTAAGATTTCATGCTCAATACAAAACAGTGTTTCTATATTTGGAAAGAAGTTTTATTTTGTCTTTCACAGTGAAATACCTGGGACTGTTAGCCATGTCCAAAATCCTGAAAACGCATCCTAAATCAGTTCAGTCTCACAAGGACCTCATTCTCCAATGTTTGGATGACAAGGATGAGTCTATCCGACTCAGAGCTTTAGATCTGCTGTATGGCATGGTATGTTTCTACATGTATTTCCTTTCCTCTCCAGCCCCAGTGACTGTTTAGTTAGGAGGCTGACGTTTAAGAAAAACATGCAACTTTCTCTTCCCCTCTCTCCAGTAGTCTTGTGATAATAACTCCCGTTATTTTTTCTGGCACTTATGTCAAGTAAAAGATCTGGCACACCACGAGAGGGCTTTAGAAACTTTGCTTCAGATCGGAAGGAGTTTCTGAGTTCAGGCAGAAGTCACACAGAAGGCTGCTTTTCCAACGCACAAGCCTTAGCTGCTCCTTCCATCGTCTAGGTATCAAGCAGACCGTAGGCTTCCTCCTTCCATCGTCTAGGTATCAAGCGGACCGTAGGCACATTGGGATAGGTCTGTGCTGTTCCAGGTTGCAGTCCACATTGCAGCACACCATAGCTCAGGGTGACCTAAGTTACGCAGTGTGGGTAACAGTCTGGAGCACTCTGAAACAACAGGAGAGGGCAGCTTTCAGCTGCTTTATCATCAAATTTGCCCCTCATTGTAAATTTTGTTACACCTTTTAAGGACATGCAGAAGCTCATTCTGTTTGTTCTGCTACGTGCCACCAGCCTTGTGCGTGCATTCCGCAACTGTGCAGGGCAGTTCATAAAATGTGCATAGGCTATAGGGGCAATCTTGTAGTGACATGTGCTCTCTGAAAGGGCTGTGGTTATGATTTGTATAGTTAAAGTACTTTTCACTCAAGACTGTGCACAAAGAGATCATGACAGATATGTCTCATAACTTCCTATTTTAGAGGAGAAAGTGAGAAGTAAGAAGGACACCTTTTGTCTGGTGCTTCTCATGAGATGCGAATAACTTAATTAGCATTTTTTTGATCAGGACAGTGGTTGTAATGTTGTCATAAAGATAATTAGAGGTTGTTCTTAGTTCCTGGAGATTAAATTCTGCTTTTTATGTCTTTAGTCAAAAGATAACCTAGGAGAAAGAGTCTACCATTTTGCTCAACCCTGCCTCTGAGAAACGCTGCTGTATAATGAATGATTGTAGAAATACTATTCCATATGTTCTTTCTTAGTGGTGTCTTTACCACGTACCTATTGAGAGATCATAGCTGGAAGCAGGGAGTCGGAACAACTGGTGATATTTACTGAGTATTTTGGTTGCTTTATTTAGAAAAGTTTCTAGAGCAAGTTAATACAGCTATGTTTTGAAATACTAGAATTCTGTTGGATGTTAATTTTTTTCTTTTAGTTTAAAGCAAAAAGGTTTTAAACTATTAAATTTGCTACTCTGGCAGAAGTAGAAGATTCATTTTCTCCTGGATTTCTGTATTGCTGCTAGTAGTTCTGATTCTCAACTTTCCCACAGTATGGTGTTGTATACTTGTGCTGGCTGGCTCTGCTTTAGTAACAACATTGAAGAGAAATAAACAGGTTCCTTTTTCAATTGTGACTGAAACTGGGGCCTAGAGAGGTGGTTCTGATTTCTTGTTAACCCATGGCACAAGTCCATCAAAGAGCTAGCAGCTGCTTTAATGGAATTAGAAGGACTTGACAGTATGGGAAATGGCTTAGTTTTGGTTAAACCCTTCAATAACTCTTTAACAGGTATCAAAGAAGAACTTGATGGAGATAGTGAAGAAACTGATGATTCATGTGGATAAAGCAGAAGGGACGACATACCGGGATGAGCTGCTGACCAAAATCATAGATATTTGTAGTCAGTCCAATTATCAATATATCACAAACTTTGAATGGTCAGTGTTTTTATGTGTCAACTTTGGGATCATCAGCAATGGTAATGCATGATTGTCTGCTGATAAAACTGCATCCCTTTCACTTTTTGTAGGTACATAAGCATCTTGGTGGAGCTGACCCGATTGGAAGGCACACGGCATGGGCATCTTATAGCAGCTCAGATGTTAGATGTAGCTATCAGAGTTAAAGCTATTCGTAAATTTGCAGTTTCTCAAATGGCCATGCTTCTGGACAATGCTCATCTCATAGCCAGCAACACCCAGAGAAATGGGATCTGTGAGGTGCTTTATGCTGCTGCTTGGATATGTGGGGAGTTCTCTGAGTAAGTGCAAACAGAAAGCCTGACACTTTAAGCAGCTTCTTTTGGACAAAGATTCAGGTCACTGAAGGGTATTTTTGAGAGGAGGATAGTTCAGAATATGCACCTTAAAATGATTGCTTCTTTCCTGCTCCCTCATCCCCTAAGACTCCTCATGTTTTTCTAGCCGAGATGGATGCTTCATTTTGAATATGTGGTCTTTTTTCTTATCTCTGTAATCCTGCCCACTCATGCAGAAGAGTGGAGTTGTGGATGTGAGCAGTAAGATCTTAAGACATTGAAGGAAATCCTTAACCATTAAGGTCTAACCCCACTTACAGGGAAAATGTCCAATCACTATGTTTGACCGAATTAGTTTTTGCTCTCCTCCCTGTTTTGCCCCTGTTGAAAGGTTTTTGCAGAACTTAATGTTTCTGAGAATTAAAGTCATCTTATTTTTTCCTAAAGACTCATCTATACCCACAGTAGCACAATTTCCAATGTTCTTGTGCTAACATTGTCTTTTTGCTTAAATAGATGTGTTTGTCTCTTGGTTGTGTGTGCGTATACACATGCTTACCTCATTTTGGTTAAGTTGGACAGACCATCATACTGTAGTCTCCTTTTATCATCTTGGTTTAGTGTCTCTCCTTGTAATTGCCACTCTGAATGCTGGTTCCAATTTAAATTCGTATAGTAGATGTGATATTTTTAGGGAACACTCATACAGCTCAGATCTTCATCTAATTAAAAAAGTTCTGCAAAGAAAACTGTAGATTAAGAAGCAAAAGAACATATCAGTCTGATCACATTTTTAGTTTGAAAGAACTTTAGCCTTCCATTTGTAACGGACCAGTAACTTTTTTGCGCATCTTCCATTTAGTTGTGAGCAGACAGTTTTGAGTAAGAGCATCAGATTTATTAAAACAAATGCATTCTTTTCTGTGTATTAAGCATTGCCTGCTAGATTTTAATTTTGTTCGGTAAATGATTGTAAATGCAATCTCATTGATGTGAGTGGTGAGGTACAGAATGACAAGAAGGTAGTTGGGCTGCTCCATCCAGATTGCCAATGGAGTTGGCACTTCAGAAGTGCAATGCTTAGTTAATGGAGAGAATACTAAACTTGTAAAGGTGGAAATAGAGGTATCCCTCCCCTTCTGTAAAAGGAGAAAGCTGTAAATTCTTCTGTGTTGTGTTACTACTGTAATTTGTAAGGGGAAAATACGCAGAGAGCAAACAATTATGTATTTATAGCCTGTCCTGTCTTTCTGCAGCACTTTGTACTGCAACTGAGGTTTCTGAAAAAGTCTTCGTGAAGACTGATGACATGTTGACATTTCTCAATTGCTGTCGTTCATCTCTCTACTCTGTCTTTATGTAGACACCTCGAGGAAGCAAACCAAACATTAGAAGCAATGTTGAGGCCTAAAGTTACAACTCTACCAGGCCACATCCAGGCGGTTTATGTCCAGAACATGGTGAAGCTCTATGCATCCCTCCTACAGCAGAAAGAGCAATCTGGGGAAAAGGAAGCAGCTCAGGAAATTACACAGCTGATGATTGAGCGTTTGCCTCAGTTTGTACAGAGTGCGGATCTAGAAGTTCAGGAGAGGGTAAGAGAACAAAATTACTTTGGAATTTATCGTACAAAGTCTCTCATTTGTCTTGGAGCATATGTGTAATTTTCTGTGGACATGCACGTTTTATATAAGCCGTTGTTATCAATAGAGCGGTGTGTTTATTCTGTACTTTGTGTAACTCGGTGAAAGAGAAGCTCTATAACTTAGAGGACTGGGAAAAGTGGTGACATTTCCTGTCAGAGCCCAGATCTTACTCCAGTTCAATACCACCTCTGAAGATTACTTGCAAGAATTGCGCTCAAAATAATTTAATGTTAAAATTATGCAAACACATAGTGATGCAGCTAGAAGAGAGGGTTAACTTTTTTTTTAGATTTACTATAAACCTGCAGTTATGCTGCTTTCCTTAATTCCCTTGATGGAGTAGAACAGTTATCTTCTGCTGACATTCATTGCAATTGATTTTTTTTTTTTTGGTTCAGTTTGTTAATATTAATCCTGAAATTATTTCTGCATTTGTTTTTAGGCTTCTTGTATCTTGCAGCTAATAAAATATATTCAGAAGCTACAAATAAAAGAAGTACCCGTAGCTGAGGAAGTAATAGCCCTGTTTGCTGGTGAGCTGAACCCTGTGGCTCCTAAAGCACAGAAGAAAGTACCAGTTCCAGAGGGGTAAGGTTCCTTCTCTCTCCCAAAGACTTATTTAGACTTTTAAATTCTTAAATAGTAAAGCTATTTACTTTATTATACTTATTATAGTAAAGCTATGTGATGAGAAGCACTGAAATACTCAGAGGTACTGAGTCAAGCTATTTGTTTGTTTACTGCAATTCATTACCAGCTTGGACCTTGATGCCTGGATCAATGAACCTCCATCAGACAGTGAGTCTGAAGATGAAAAGCCCAAAACAATTTTTCATGATGAGGAACAAAGGCATTCCAGACATAGACAGCCTGAAATAGATGAAGAGGAACTGGCCAGAGTGAGTGAAGGCTAAAATGCTTTTCCCGACATAATTCAGTAGTAACATTGTAAGTGCTACTAAAGCAATTGGAGCTTTTGTGGATTCTCCATGTAGCCAGAGAGCTGTTCTGCTCTCTACAGCTCAGGAAGTCTGATGATTTCATGTGAACAAAATATATGTACTTGAATACAGGTATTTTTTAGGCATTGTGGAATACATCCGACATAAAGTTCTCTTGGAAGTCTAGCTTGCCTATCGTATCCAAACAGAAACAAGATGATATAAAAACATGGCTCTTGTTAGGAGTTTTGAGCTCTTGTAAAAATCTGACCTCTGAAATGTGATGTGTAGTGCAGCTCACTTTGAAGTATGGGGTCTTGAGGTTGGATGCTTGTGCTGAGGTCTGTAACTATTTGGGTTTTACACGCCTTCTCCATTGGTGTACGTCTCTTATTCTATGTGCTCTATATTGGCAGAAAAAGAGGCAGCACCTTTGCTTATGGACTTCAGCAGCTTCTATGAATTACTGTAATGTGACTGTTGTCAGTAGTGATACCACCTTTCCTGCTTCAGGCCTTTTTGTTTTCATAGAGAAAACTTTTTATTGATAAGAATCTTCACATCTTCCTCTCTTTACAAAAATGAAAATAGAAACATATGAATTGACATAAAAATCTGGTCTTCGGGAAGTTACTATCACTAGACTACAATTAAAAAGCAAAGAAAGGGTGTTCTAAGGGATATTAGTTATAATAACAACAGTACTTGTAGTTATATCCTAGTAGGTCTTGTAACTCACAACTGTTTTATTATATGCAGCTACTATACTGTAGTCTTTTTGCAAGTAGGTAGGTATTGTTCCAAAAAATCAGGGAAATTGCATTTTGCACTTTGATGCCTTTTATCTCTCTCTCCTTATAAACAAACATTCTAACTACAAATACTCTTTTGCTTTTAGCGTCGAGAAGCCCGGAAACAAGAACAGGCAAACAACCCATTTTATATTAAAAGCTCTCCTTCCCCACAGAAGGTGAGTGAGTCTGAATTAAAATATTTTGCTGGCCTCTTATAATTTTATGAAGGCTTGCTGAATGTCAGAGCTGCAGCTTGCCTCTGTGACATTCCAATTACTTCTACTGCAGTTCTGATCATTTAATAGTGTGCCAACCGGAATGGCTACCTACAACTATTTTTGTAAGTCTTATTTGTGCTGAGAAACTCAAAAATTACCTAATATCACAAGAGCAGGCAGCTTTCAGTGAATCTGTGGTGGACCTCCAGCTTAGAAATAAGGAAGCGGTAATTGTCACAACTCCCGTTACACAGTAGTTTGGAACAGTCTGGATTAACTTGTGGAAAGTGTAGTGTTCATTTTTCAGCAAGGACTCTCTAAAAGCTGTAGAGAAACACTTCTTCTCTGTGCCCTTGTGTGGCAAATACCTGTGCAGGTAGTTTGTCTTGACGCTGGATGATGGAAGGGTTCAGATTGCCAGGCACTTCATTAAGAGCAAGGAAGAGAGAGTGAACCTTGAACATGCTCCTTTTGACTATGCAGTGTGTTTTATGGATAAAAAGGTTGTTGTGGTCTCTTTTTAACACCTTTTTCAGGCAAAGAGCCTGCTTTATTCCGTGTGTACCTAAGGACTGCCCCATTTTCCTCAACTCAAATCTCAAAATTTATCTTCTGAAGTGGCAAGTTATTAGCAATAAAATACAAACCAAAAAGTCTTCAGAGACTTGCAGTAAGCCTTCAGGGAAGTAGCAGGGTTAAAAGACCTTACTTTTAGCTACAGTTTTTTATCATAGTTATCAGCTGGCTTTAAAATACACTCTGCTACCACGCAGGATTTACTACTGAGCTATTCCATTTCTGTCCTTTAAAATGTTCACTTAAAGGATTAAACTACTTCATGTTTTGAAATGTGTCTATTTATATAGATGTGTATCTGGCAATGCTCAGAATATAACACATTTTCATTTTCCCAGCGATACCAAGACACTCCAGGTGTGGAACATATACCTGTGGTCCAGATCGACCTTTCTGTCCCCTTAAAAGTTCCAGGTAAGTGCAGATAACCTTTAAAATTCATTACAGAAATTCAGTTAAGCAAAAATAATAATTCTTTTGTAGGAATTCCTTCTTAGGTTTTTAAGGGTAAGGAGCGTACTTTCATTAGACTCTTCAATACATTTCCTTAACTTACATGTGTTTGAGAAATAGTACTTTGCAGTCTGAGTGCAGTTCCTCTCAAGACAGTATTAGAAGTAATTCTGTGACTAAGTATATTGTGCAGCCAAGTCTGTAATAGTAAACTAACCACTGTTCTGTGTAGGTAACGGTCACCTTTGGAATGTCTTAAAGGGCTGACGAAGGTGATCAGGAGACATTTAAGTGGAGTCTAGTAGTAGAGATACTCTTTTAACATCTTGTTTCAAATATCAAAAGGTAGTTGTATATCTAATGAGTGGTTTGATATAGCACTGAAAAGCTGTTAATAAAGTGCACTACATCACTTGTGATGAGTTCCAAGTGCAAATATTTAAGGCTTACACAACAATTTTTTCCAAAAGTGTGAAAAGTTGTCAATATTAGTACAGCAATGGCACCAATTCTACTTAAAATATCGATGTTTAGATGCTCTTTGTAATCCAGTTAATGTGAACAAGAATCAGGGAGGACAGAGTCATCCTGTTTCTGGAGCAATGCAGTGTGGTAGTAAAGCTGGTGCTAGAGGGGCTGTATGTGAGATGATATGGAAGCATAGAGAGGTGTTGATCCTTCTAATTCTGAAAAGCTAGAAGCAAGGTTCACCCCTAATATGTTGTTTCAGTGTTCAGTATCCATGTGGACTGTAGGCTGAAAGCAGTTTGGCTTCCTCCACAGGAATGCCTATGTCTGACCAGTATGTGAAACTGGAAGAAGAGCGAAGACATAAACAGAAACTGGAGAAAGACAAGAAAAAGAAAAAACAGAAAAAGGAAAAGAGAGGTAAACATCATCGGCATAACTCTCTACACACGGAGAGCGAGGAGGATATTGCTCCAGCTCACCACGTCGATATCATAACAGAAGAGATGCCAGAGGTCAGTTGCTTTGGTTGGTGGTCTGAGTTGTGGGGTTTATCTGTGTGCTGCTCTTGAGAGATTCCCCCCCCCAGGAATTGCCAGCCAGTCTGTATTGTTGCAGTTCAAAAGCCCTGATTTCTTGCAAAGCTGTTTAAGAAATGACTGATTGATATGGTCCTAGCCTGTTCTTTGCAGGGGGAGAAATTAATAGTCTTTTTGTGCACAAAAAGACAAAAATTGCCACTGAGGCTATTAAAAAAAAAAAAACAAACCAACAAACACAACAAACCCCAACAAAACAAACAATATGCATCTCTGCTATAAAAGTAACGCTGTCCAAATAGTCACTTCATTTATTATGCTCTGCTGCTTCACTTTGACGTTAACTTGCTGTCTAGTCAGCAGGTTTGCAGCTGATGATAATTAATTGTGCATGCTAATGATGTCATCTGTATTTGTTCCTAAAACTTCCTTTAATCAAGACCGAACAGCAGCAATTAAAATCCTGCAGTTCATGAAGAATGGTTTTCTGTTCTAAATTAATCTTGTAACTAGATGCTGCATTGAAGTACATTGTTCCTATAACTTACTGTGCCTGACTGCAAGCTGGCCTGTTCCAGGGTTAACAATCATAAAAAACTGGTTTGGGGGATGTAGAGCTCTAGTTTCAAAATTACCTGTGGTTTGCTTCTTCAGTGGATGGTCTCTTTATGTCTCCTGCAGAATGCTTTGCCCAGTGATGAAGACGACAAAGATCCCAATGATCCATATAAGGCACTTGATATAGATCTGGATAAGTAAGTGATGATTTTGTATGTGAATTTACTTACTTGCTAACCAGAATGCCTGAGGGCAGGTCTGGGGCTAAACAGGCAAAGACAATATCTACAGTCCACGAGGTGAAAAGACTGTGTCTCTCACCATGTCTTGGATGTAACCTCAGATGATATCCAGGCTTGGGTTCCCACTGCAGCATAGATGATAAAAGCTAAGCTGCAGAAGTAGAGGGGTCTTGGGAATCATTTTGTGTGACTGAATGGAGTCTGAAAGCATAGGCAGTGTAGCTGGGATCAGATGTGAGAGAGTTAGTCTGAGCTTTTGGGTGCCACAGGATGTCTCTGATCTAACCTGCATTGGCACTGAGCGTGACGTGCATTCATCTGTGTTCATCTCAGAACCCCTGTACACATGGCAAGCCTGTGTGCTCTGTGGTGTGATAATTTGACCAGTTACAGCCAGTTTGTACCATCCCCATTGTCTCGTGGACATTCACTGTGGTGCCACTGTTGAAAAATGTTGTTCTAATATGATTGAGCAAACTGCGTATCATAACCTTGACCAGAGTCTGGTCCCCATTCAACTATTGGAGCTGTTTACAGTACTAGCACCTCAGGCTGCAACACAGCAGGCTCTGAATCCCTGCATGCCATGTGATAATTAGCAGTGGGCTGTTAACTATTGCACATGGAGATTTTTTTTTTTGGTGCTGTTTTACAAAATCACCACGCTTAAAAATAATTGTTGATTTATGGTCCGTGGATATCTCCTGTCAAGTTTTGAAGACTGTGCAGGCACATATATGCATGTGCAGTATATCTCTCTCTGATACTTAACCTTAAAGCCTGCCATTCTGTGTGATTCTCAAAGCTGTAGGGGTTTGGCCCCTTGGTACCTTGCAAAAAAGTGATGTAGAATTTCTAGAAAGTGAAAGAACTGAAGCTTCTGAAAAGCTTCCTTTTTTCATGAGCTGGTCACATTCCTTTCAGTTTGCAGGGGACAAGTGTATAAAAGGAAATTAATTTCTGACTACAGACCTCGTATTTGCATGACAAGCCTCAATAGTGTAGAAAACACTGAGCAGAGCAGTTTCTGAATGCTGTGCTCCGGGAGGCATCTTTGGACTTTTGTACTGTTCCCACCCATTCTTTCAGCTTCACACGAGTCAGTGTGCTCTCCTGTCACATTTTCTCATGTCTCTGTCCTCTCTCTTTCTTTCTGTGCTTGCACTGCTATGTCTGTGTCACGCTCACACGCAGTCTGGTTTCAGGGAAGTCTTCCAGGTAAGAATATACTGCTAAGTGGTTGACCTTGTTTGTCAGGTTGGTTGATTACAGTGGACAGTGTAAATACTTGAAGGGTGGTAAAACTATTGAAATCATTGATCCTCAAATTAGTGTGCATCTCTTTCATCATTGACTTTCAGCACCAATCCCTGTTCCTGTACAGGTGTATGTGCAATATATATAAATAAAAATAAGATCTGTTTACTGTTCAAACAGATGGGGGGTCCATCTTGCCCGTACAGTGTCTGTTTCAAAGTAAAAAATGAGTTGGGTCTGGTTCTTCATGCAATATAAGCAAAAAATTCAGGCAAGTGAGACCATTAGAAATCTTCTTCAACTGGTGTTTGCTGCTCAAACAAATTAATGTTAAGTAAAAGCTCTAGAAATAGAAAAAGAGGCAATCGGTTAACTCACGGATTTCTGAACAATGTTTGACAAGAATGGAGAAATTTCTGTGGTGCTTTTTTCCTAAGTAATGGATTTGGGATACAGTGTAAATCTGAACTACTAGTCATGCTTTTTGGAAACAGACATCCGAAATTAAACACAGCTTTATATGTAATGTTAGAGTACAGAATCATAGTGTAAACTTCCAAAATGAGAAATGTATTGCTTAAAATAATTGCTGATTGGAGTGATCTGTTCATCAGTAACAACAAAAAACTCGCCCTTAAAGGGCTGTTTGATCCATGCTGTCCTTCCACTGCTTGAATTTCCACACTGTTGCAAATGCTTCCAACTGTTTCACATCTTTGCTCTGCCTTTGAGAGTGGTTTCCCAGAAGGGCAGCATAATGCTATGTGTATGTATTCTTCTGTACGTGTTACTCAGCCTGCAAGTCTGTAGTTACCACTTCTAAGAGTGATCAGGTGTCAGCAAGAGCTTGGCTCTCAGTCACCTCCAAAATGTTTCTATTAACTTCTAATCCATAAGGGCAGTGTCTGCAGTTACATAAATAAACCTCAGGTACAAAAGTATGTGCTGATTGAGGATTCTGGGGCCCAGCTCTTTAGAAACAAAGCGTACCTTCTCTTGGTCAAGGTACTGAGCTAAGGGAGACTGTCTTTGCAGAAGGTTAATGGTCTCTTTCTTTTTAAGACCCTTAGCAGACAGTGAGAAGCTGCCAGTGCAGAGACACAGAAATGTTGAGACCCTGAAGTCACCTGACTCAGAAGCTCCTCTAGTAGAGAAGAAAAGCAAGAAACCCAAAAAAAAGGAAAAGAAACACAAAGAAAAAGAGAGAGACAAAGGAAAGAAGAAAGAGAAAGAGAAAAAAGTAGTAGAGGAGGAAGAAGAAAAAAAGGTAATTCTCCAAGACTTGCATTATTTTAGGAACTCCTGTTATGGGCTATATATCTGTGTGTTTTGTTACTTAGGAACAGTCATATTTGACCATTCAAACATTAGTTGTCAGTTACTCTGAAGACTTGAAGTATCCTTCTTGTCAACTACTCTGCAGAGATGCAGGTTTCCTCTAAGCCATTGTGCTTTGAAGACCTGTAGTTATTGTGATGCGTAGGGTAATTTGCCGTTACTGTCAGCTATGTCCAGGTTTCAAAGCGTGCTCAAAGGCTGAAGTTCAGCTTCTTGAACTCTTTGCTCCTAAATGTATTGCAGCATTTGGAGCATTCTGGAGCAATGCATTTCTATGAAAACTTAAGGTGATTTTAAATTTTTTTTTAAAAGAATGGTATCAAAACAACCACAATGGGTTTCTTTTCTCTTGAAATTCAGGGGGAAGACTTGGATTTCTGGCTCTCCACTGCTCCACTGCCTGCTTCCTCTACCCAGCCACAGGTAGACATCTTACCACATCACAGGAAACTTTTTCTTACAATTGCATCTTAGCTGTGATATGAGTGCTTTGTCATGCTGCAGGAGAGAAGGGAAAAATAGGCTTCATCTCCTCAACTTACTGCTCTGGAGCAGTGACATTTTATCTCCCCCGTTTACAGACATTGTAATGGGAGGTTTCAAGCTCATTCTGCTGTGCAGATCAATAGATAGAAACACAGAGGCAGCTACAGGCTTGGTGGGTTTTAATATTATCAGTGGGTTTTAATACTACTATTAGTGTATGGTTTTATTTCCTAGTGTGAGCTAGACACTAGCAATATTAATAGGCATGTGAGACGTAGACTGAAAGAAAGTCTCATGAATTTTGATGGGAGATCTTAGAGGAAGAGACATAGAATGTCTATGTGAATAGAAGGGCATGGATTCCTTGGAGGAAATATTTTGTATCTTGCCCTCGGGTGACTGTGTTTGCTAGGTTTCAGAGACACAAAATTTAAAGCTTGATACCGTGTTAGTCTGTAAGTTTTGAAGTAACAATTGTTACTTCAAACAAAAGGCGGGGGGGGGCACTGTTAAGACTTCTTTTGCTGTGGGAATCAACTGTTTCAACTGTGTTCCATTAATGTCATAATCTTTATGCTAATCTACTCAGAGTGAGCCTGAAGTGGGTGCTGCTGTCGTGGCTGAACCTCAAGAGGTAAAAAAGGAAGAAAGGGAAGAGCGAGAGGACGAGGAGGAGGAGGAAGGAAAGGTAAGTGGTTTAAGTTGCTGACACCCATAGCCATATTCTCGTAGTGTGTCCTATTCCTCAGAAAGAAGCACACGGGAGTTACCAACAGCATTCTATTCAGTGTAGCAACCACCTGCAAATAGGCAGCAATGGGATGTTATGTCCTGGAGGAGCTCTAAACATTTCATAGTAAGAGGTTTGGTTGTTCCTTGAGCCAAGAGTCAGATAGCAATTGGAAGCTGAGCTTCCAAACAATTGAAGAGATTTGGCCTTCTGCTGATCCCGGGCTGCTTTGGGTCAAGGTATTTTCACGTGAGTGGAGAGCAGGAAGTGTTTACTGGGACTTGACACAGAATGACTGTTGGGTTTAAGGAACAGGGACTGTGTTCCAGGTGTCTGCAGTAGTAGGAAATTATGTTCAGTCATTCAGAAGGCTGCGTAGAGTCTGTAGTTGAAAGATTAGTAGAGGAGTCATGATGTAATGGCTGGAAATGTAGGGTTTCTTTAAGGGTTTGTTGTAGTTTCTTGTTCTTCTTGGTAGAAATCCTCCAAGCATAAGAAGAAAAAACACAAGAAAGAGAAAGAAGAGAAATCAAAGGATAAAAAGAAATCCAAAAAGAAGAGTCATCACAGTGAGGAGGAGACAACAGAGTCGGTGCAGAATGGAACACTAGATGATGAACCACTACCAGTGAGTAGCTGTGTACTGGCAGTGCCTGCCTTGGGGAAGAGGCAGGAGCTAAACCGTTTTGGGAGGAAGGGCAATGACAGCTCTTCAGAGAAATTAGTTCTATTACAACTGTGATTCCTTTCTTCTTTTTCAGCCTATGTCCAGTTACCGCCTTCTTGCTGAAAATCCGTACATTAAAATGGTGAGTTCGGAGGTGTTCAAATCCAGATGGCTTGTTTTTGTGCTCTCTGAGAAAAGAGGGGATACACTGGGGCTAGTATAGCGACTTTATGTAGACAACATTTAGCTGAAGAACTGCTTAAATCCCAGGAGGTAGAAACATAACAAAGCTCCATTTCCATTCCTGTGTCCTACCTAACAAGATTAAGCTGATATTTTCCCACTGCTTACCAGTACATTGGAGCTGATCATCAGTGTGCTTTTCATTATCCTATGGCTGTACCAAATTACCTTCTTCTTGAGGCTTGCTTTTGTTCTGAGGCTGTGTTCTGCTCTGGTGCTCTGCTGTTTTAGTTTCTGAATCTTTCCTGTGAATTTCTCTTCTTTGTTTGCAGACCTACGATATTCAAGGAAACCTCCAGAACGATAGCCAAGTTACTGTCTCTGTTATCTTTGAGAACAAAAGCACTAGCTTCCTTAAGAGCATGGAACTAAATGTCCTGGACTCTCTCAACACTAAAATGCTGCGACCAGAAGGATCATCAGTACACGATGGGATACCTGTGCCCTTCCAGCTACCCCCTGGTATGCACAGCTTTGCACAGGGTTCTTGGAGTATGTCTAGTCCTGCACTGCCCTCCTGTGGAAAGAATTGTTTGAACGTCTTGCTACTTGTGGTTTTCCAGAAAGACATGTCCCTCTGCCTGAGTGTTCACTGGGCTTTCACACAATTCACTGGAGAGGATAAGCCTTCTTACAGTATGGCTATAAACGGAGGTGGTTCTGTACGGCAAGAGCAAGGCCTATAAAGTAGGACAGGGAGTCCGAATGTCTGAGTTCCTTTTTCAGGTGACTGCAGGCTGGCACACCTTTGAATGTGCCAGCATCACCAACTACAGGAATCCCAAATCCATGAGGAGTTTGCTGTGAGGTTTAAAATGAAAGACAGATACAGGTTCTTGAACTGTTAGAATCCACTCTGGATTTATTCTTGAGCTCTTGTCCCACCATTTTAATGGCAGAGGCCACACACGGTAAAAGTTTGCAATCAATATGTGCTTATTTGGATGGGGAACTGAGCCCTTAAGAAATATAAGACACAGAGATGAAGGATAATGGCTTCATACATAGTACAATAGTACAGTTGAATTGCTGAACTTTGAGTTTCATTTCCTTCACTGAAGAGTTAATCTGACTACTGAAACAGCTTGCAAAAGTCTTCTGGGATTTAGTGGCTTCAGGGCGCATTTTGATCCCCCATGGGACAAAGCGGGGTAAATCTTTTTTACTATGTAAGGCAGTTCTTGACACAGACTAGTATATTAAAAGAAAAACAGAGAAAATTAGAATTCAAATTAATTCTGAAAATTACTTGGAAAGCTGTATATTTTCCAGTTATACAAACAATTTAAATGTATTTCCACTGTGACATACTTTGCCCAGGCACTCCCTCGGTAACCTCTACCAAATGCCAGCTATCACTGCTGCTTTTCAGAGACCCAAGAGCTAAGTGCTGTAACACTGTTAATTCACAACAGAGATTGTGCATATAGCTTGCTTCCAACTACACGGACAACTTCAAAGTTGGTTCAGAAATAGTCAGTACATAAAGCTTAGCTGCTACTGATCCGTTTATTCTAACCATTACTTAGATACGGAAACTATTTTCTGACCTGACTTCTCCCTCTCCTCTCTTCATGCCAGGAATCTCTAATGAAGCCCAGTTTGTGTTTACACTTCAGAGTATTGTTATGGCTCAGAAGTTAAAAGGAACACTGTCCTTTATAGTCAAAGTAAGTGCAGCTTTAAACTCTGTGCTTCTGCTTCCTTTGGAACTGCATAAGGGAGCTTGACTTGGGTGGAAAGCACTGCTTTAGAGCTTTTCTTAGGCATCATTTCATCTCTGCTGCACCAGCCCATTCTGTGATGTGAGAAGTATTTTTACATGACATCTTGTGCAAAGAATGTCCTGAATAATGCGTAAGCATGTCCTAAATTGTCATTCCTGGCAGTGTGTGAGCAATGCAGCCTGAAACATATGCCGCATTGTCAGCTAGAAAATCACTGCAGTGGTGCGTCTGCTGGGGAGAGGAGGACAACCAACTAGCGAGAGATGCAACCCAGAGTGTTTCTTCTGATCTCAGTTACCCAAAGATCAGTTAGACACTGCTACCTGTTACAAGGCTGGAAAAATAGTAATAAGAATTAGATACAGTTAACAAGGACGGAAGCTCAGAACAAGAGTGACATTAGCTGAAGGCATTGTTTAATAAGTATTGACCTGTATATGTGGGTTTCTAATGTTATTTCAGTAAAATTATTAATGAAGGAGCTGCATGAACAGCTCGAAGTAAGTGAATGGAGACAACTGTGGCTACTTCTGAGTCAGCCATTATGTCGTTTTTTAAGGGATTCTTAAAAATAGTATACGGGTCCTATTTCAGTACCTAAAAATCTGGGAGACATTAATTTATTATTTTGCTTGGGAAATAGTGAACTGTAAAACCATGTGTCCAAGTGTTAGTTTAAATTCAGTCCGCTCAATGTATTTCAGCAAAGTGCAATTGAAAATGCAGCCAGATCCCTCCAGTTGTGTCCCTTAATCTGCTCTAGCTGTATGTATCAACTCAGCTGCCCAGATCCTCTAAGTAGCCTGATACTAGTGACAGTTGCTCTCAGACTGATCCTTCAGGCACAGGCAGGGTATATCAAAGGGAATTGAGCCCTAAAGTCTTTGTTGGTGCCTGTTTGGTAGGTGGGGGTGGTGCCTCCTCTTGCTGCTTTGGGGCTTCCATTCATCTCCTTTCCTTTGACCTGTTGCAGAATGATGAAGGTTCAACCCATGAAAAACTAGATTTCAAATTGCACTTCAGTTGCGCTTCATATTTGATCACGACGCCTTGCTATAGGTAAGTGCCATTTAGGGGGCACAACATTGGTGCTTTTGCTGCCCATGTGAAGCTGAGCTTTGGCTGCAGGCCATCTCTGCAGGATACGCAGCATGCTTTTGACTGGCTGCTTGTGATTGCTTTGGTAATAGTTCAGTTGTCTTGTGTAATGTTTGACTGTTAAAATGTGTTCAGCAACTTATTTCAAGTGATTCTGAAGAAGGAGCTATATGCCCTGTAGGCTGGCAGAGGTCATGTGGAAGTAGCTATGGTTGAGGTCATAGGGTGCTCCTGTGGAGTCTGGAGTATGGTTCCCCTGTTTGCTGTAAACCCATTTTCCTAGAGCTTGGTAGTACTTAGACTTCTGCATCCTGAGATGTCTCAAGGTCTGCATGGGGCTAATGTGGCAGATCACACTTGGATTTCTAGTACAAGTGTTTACTTTCCTTCCTGTTTTGCAGTGATGCTTTTGCCAAGCTCCTAGAGTCTGGAGATCTGCACATGAGTTCTATTAAAGTAGATGGAATTAGCATTTCTTTCCAACATCTACTGGCAAAGATCTGTTTTCATCATCATTTTTCAGGTGAGTCTTCCTCAATGCAGAACCTTCTGCAAAATTCCGTATTCTAAAATTTCTGCTGTGCTTGGCAAGTGCAACATGCTGTGACCTCAACAGTGACAGCAGCAGGTGATGTCCAGATTTAATGAATTTGGGAGTTTTTTCCAGTTTTCTGTTACATTGGTATGCTCAAAGCAGGCAACGTTCTTCAAAATTAACTGTCCTTGTGCCCCTGTGGCTTTCCTCCAGTCCAGCAAGGCACATGGCAGGTTTCACGGGCACAGCTTGCTTGTAGTTAGGGCTGTAACTGTTCTCTGGAGGGTGTGTTTGATGTTCAGCGCTTCAGCCTACCTCTTCTCCCCAGTGCTTTGTTTCAGTAAGGAGAACGCGAGCTATTCAAGTTTGGACTTATCAAATAAAATGCAAGTACTGGATGAAGCAAAACAAATGGCTGTTTCATCATGCTCTGATGTATGCATTAGACATTGCCTCACTGAAAGCATTTCTGGGGAAGAGATCTACATTCTGATCAGCATTTTTGCCACAAAACACTTGCAGCTTGCTTAAAAGACAAATTACTAACCTCATTATTGCAAAATATCCTGGATAGGAGCCAAGAGGAGCCAGGCACGTACATCATCTTAACCCTGACTTCCTCCTCACTTCACTCAGTAGAAGCCTCTATTCCTTGAGGCCAAGACAAAGCAGTAGTGCCTACTCACGGGAAGCTAATCTTAGATTAAAAAGTTGTCACACTAAATGAAAACTCCTGCTTTCTTTATAGTTGTGGAACGCGTTGATTCGTGTGCATCAATGTACAGTCGTTCTATCCAAGGCCATCATGTCTGCCTACTGGTAAAAAAGGTGAGAGCATTGTAACACTCTGAAACAAGACCTGTGAGAAGCTAAATACGCAGCTTTTCCTATCTTAACAGAAAGGGGGAAATAATCCTGTCTAAATCATCCAGGGGCACCATGGGCAATTTAATTCATCTGACCCATCTAGTAGCTTTTGCTGTGCTGCTGCGAAGCTTGTACCTCCCCATGGGCTTTCTGTTGCCCAGCACATACCTGGTGGGTAGTAGCAGCAGCGACGGCTTACCTGAACTGACCTCGGCTAAGCCTGCTTTGTTCCTGTGCAGGCTCCCCTGGCTGTTTCCAGTCCCTGAGCTTGGCTGGGAATAAAACTGTCCTCACTTAAAAGAGGAGCTAATGGATTTCTTTTTTTTTTTTCTTTTTCTTTCCAAGGGAGAGAACTCTGTATCCATAGATGGGAAATGTAGTGATTCCACCCTGCTTAGCAACTTGTTGGATGAGATGAAAGAGACATTGTCCAAGTGCTGAATACTCCTTATAAAATACTCCAACTACAAGAAACACACCTAATGTGTAGAGACGAGCAGACCCAAGTGTTAAGTTTCTCCCTCGTACGCATGTACTATCCTGGGGCACGTGCTTTTCAGTTAACTCCACCATTGTTTGCAGTTTAGACATTTTAAAGCTGTATGTTACCTTTTTATTTCAAAACTTTTTACAAACTGTGGTGTTAACCCTTTCTAGCCCAAAGAGATCCTGGTGACATGACTGGAGGAGGGAGGGAGGGGTGTTATTTATTCAGCAGCTCACGATGATCCCATAAACCTTGCCATCTGCCTGGGACGGTGGACTAAGCAGAATTTTATCAACAGTAGCACAGAGTCTGTTGCTTGTGCTTATTGCCAGGGAAGGTTGACTTGATCCTTAGCCATGGAGTATGTCTTCAGGGCTGCTGTAGTTGATGTATATTTCTAGCAGAGGCTGGTGCTGGACCTGAAGGCCTCTTTTTTTTTTTAATATGATTTATTATTATTATTATCTCAAGATCTATTGTGATCAGCATATAAACATCCTCCATCTCCTTGAGCTAATCCAAATGAGTCCTGTGAGAACTGGGATGTTTGCGTTTCTGTTTATAGTAGTTGCCTTGAGCCTTAACCTTCTTTTAGTGACAGCTGAGAGAGTAGAGAGTGAAAGCATGGAACAGGCTGAAAGTGTTACTGTTTGTTCTCTGCTCCTGTTGACCACCCCTGCAAATGGAGTCTGTCATGCCTCTGCCCTTTGAGCAGTCTCTGCCGATTTATGAGTCCACTTCAATTTCACATTCCTGAAAAGTTAGGGTACAGCAAGAAACTGGAAATCCAAAGGGGTCTGTTCCTGCTTTTTTTATCATTTTGCTCACCAGCTGAGGTTGACCACTACCAGGTTAGAGAAATGGCCACACGTGTAATCCCTTGTACTCCCAACAGTTTGCAGATACAGCCCTGTTCCCTCCCTCTGTGCTGTGAAATCGGAGATGTCGTGCTGTCTCGGTTGTCCCTGTACCTCCCATGGCCCTGCCCTCGCAGCAGTGGGCGTAGATTTAGCAGGGCAAGCGTAAGTGGGTCCCTGCAGCAGAACCTTCTCTGCCTGAGTGGCGGGAGGGAGGGGTTGGTGAGGAGCTGCAGACTCATGTCTGTAGCAGGTGACTTTAGAGAAAAGAAAGAGAGGGTCTGTGAAGCGAAGCCCGTTCTGCATTGTTGAAATCTTGTGGAATCACTGACTGGAAAGGGATGTCACTGTGTCCTTTACAGAGATGCTTAATTGATGTCCTTCTCCAAAATAATCTTGCTTTCAGTTTCTCCCCCCGCCAGTTCTTTTACTTGCTGTTCCACACCCAGCAAACTGGGAACATACCTGAACAGTTTTCCTTTAAGGCACGAGTCAAGAGCTGCTGGTTGCTATTACCAGCAGGGTCCCCAGGGAGGAGCTGGGTTGGTTTGCACTTCTCCAGCACCACCACTGCTTGGACTGGTGTCAGCAGTGCCCCACAGCATTGAACTAAAACCCTGCACAGGCGACAGGATAAAGTGTTGATCTTATCCTTTGGGTGAACGTCCTGTACTTTAAGCGTGTCTTGAGCTCTTTACACTCTTCCCACATTAGGGTATTTTTGCAAAGGCTCTGCTCTGGTTTTATTGCTAGGACCAGCTCTATATTTTGACCGCACTCATGCGCTGCAGGAATTCGTTCGCAGCAGGCTTCACCGCTGGTGAAGTGGTAGTTTTTGGTATTGGTCAACCTCCCTTGGTTAGCCAGTTTGTGTATTAGAAACTGAACATATTAAAATTGTCTTAAAGGATAATGTTCCTCAGTTAGTGGTTTTTTTTTTTAATTCATGGATGAAAACTGTCACTTTAGCATGTAGAGTCTTCTCTTACAGAATCCTGTGCGGTGATTCTAGAATTTTGAAACTGTATGATGTGTTACATTCACAAATTTATTTGCTATCAACATTCCCTTAAAAAAAAAAAAAAAAAAAAAAGAAAGAAAAAGAAAACAACATACCACAAGCTGCTGTAATGATTTTGTGTCAAGATGATCCAATAAACTTTCAAAACAAAGTTAAATTTTCGGCTTTGTAAATAGTCCTTTTATAAGACCTTTCCAGTTTGTATGGACCCAAAAACATCATGTGGATTTACCCCAGCTCCAAATGCTTGTGTCTGTAGGGAAGGCAAGAGGAAGCTCATTCCAAAAGCTCTGGAGGAGGTAAGTCATTTCTGACACCGCTGTGTGGAGTGGTGGGGTTTTATCGGCTGGGGGCTGGTGTCCTGCCAGTCCTCCATCCCTCGTGTGCGTATCAGGGACTGATCACTGCCTGCTCTATCAGCAGCAGCAGCTCTAAGGCATGAAGTCCATGAGTGGAAAGAGGACCCTCTACTGAGGGAGTCAGGGATGATGCTGTTGTTCATCTCTTGTATTTTAAACTGACCTGATTTTTATACACTCCAAAACTTTGATTCCTGCACACTTTGAATAACTAACTGGTCAGGCTGTCACATTTTCACACTCCTTTGGAAGGCAGCATTGCAAGCAACAGTTGTCACTAAGACAAATTATGGGGGGGAATTCAGGCAATCCCAGTTAAAGCTGCATTAATTTTTAAAATTTATTATTATATAAGTAGGTATAAAATAAATTTATTTTTAGCAATTGCAGCTAAAATCTAAGCACTTGAAAATCAGAGCAATACGAGGATTAAGGTCCAGTACTGTCACAACAGGAACTGAGACATTGGTTTTGCGATACACTCAGTGGTTGCTAGTAAGACCAAAACCTGTGAAAATCATCTCTTGCAACAGAAAATATCTGGGGCTGCATAGTCAGGAGCTACCAGCTCTGCATTGAGAAGAACACAGGGCTTGCACTAACTTGTCGGCCCTGTTACTGGTAGACAAGCAGGAGCTGGGAAGGAAGGAGCAGGACATTTGTTTCCCACATGCAGTATGAGCCCAGCGTTGGCTGTGGGACAGCACAAATATGATGAAATGGCATAAAAACAACAACAACCATCCATCTCTTTGCAAATGCATGAAAAAACCCACCCAAGCCAGTGAGCACGTGGAGTGAACTTGCAGGACCCTAACTGGAAAACGCAGGAGTTTTTGGTGAGCCTGGCACCATGCACTTCATGGCTTCGAACAGTGAGCCAGGCTTTTGCCCTGCTCTCTGCATATGTCATGTCAAAATTCACTGAGCAACCAGACAAAGACAATCGGTCCTTATCTAACTATTTTTGCACACAGTATG